GGGCTGGTGTCGCTGTGTTGCTGGCCTCTGGTCAGGTCACAACGAGGTGGAGTGTTGCCTGCCAGCAGGGATGTTTGGGCCTTCAGATAGCTGAGGCATCAGAGCAGAAGGAAATATCTTACCAGAGATGCTTGGCCATATTTCTAGGACCAGATAAAAAGCTTCACACAGGAGCTGAGTTAACACTGTTATGTCTATGAGAGGGTCATGTCCAGAAACAGCTTTCCCCTTCCAACAGAGACTTAGTAGAAAAAAAACTCCATGCTCATATTTCTGTACCCCGGGAGGCTCTCCTGGAATCTAAGAGGCCATTTAGGATCAAATTCTGCCCCACCAACCATCACATAATGGTGATACTGTTAAGGCCATCATATATATGAGGCTGAATTATCCACAATGGCTGGCAATGTCTTCATTCTCCAGACTGAGTCTCCGGCCTCTTTGCTTTGGCAAGAGTTGATCTCAGAACTGCCTGAAACCAGAAACTCCAGGCACAGCTCTTTGGGTCACTCTTCTGAAAAGGAATCACACTAAGATCTGTCATCCTGGTACTTTGTAAAACCAAGGTGTCAGCCTTCACCACAGTGAAAAGCGAGTTGTCAGAAGCAGGGTGTGATCATCTGCTGATTTAAGCCATCTGCCACCACGGAGAAAGACAGAAATCATGAGCTGGTGCCCTGGTGCCCCCGGCCACATTTTTACACACTGGGCCTTTGGCTGCCACCTCAAGTTCGTCTTTCCAGATGTCAGTTCTCGGGAGGCAGACTCCCGGCACCACATTCAGGAGGGCCTCCGTGCATGCTCAGGGTTCTTCTCATCGCAGGCAAACCCCAGCTGAGCCCCACTCCATGTGCTGATGGGCAGTCTGTGGGACTGGTGTGGGTCTCTGCAAGGGGGTTTGTGCAGAGATGTGAGCCTCTGGGTCAGCCCCCTGCTCCAGGCTTTTGCATTCCAGTTATAGACATACCTCTGTGTGTATGTCAGGGACTAGAGATGATCACACTGCTAAATTTTTCTTGAGTAACTTTTAGTAGAAAAAAAAAAAAAAACCCTCACTTCAGCAATGACATTGTTAAAAACACATACAATAAATGCACATCACTTCACTAAGCAGCATTCAGGCCTTGGCTTCCCTTTGGGAACAAGATTTTAGCCTATGCCTCATAAATAGGTGGATTGTGCTCCACTCTACTCGGAGGGGACACAGGGGCGACACAGTCTGTACCTCTCAACACCCCAGGTGGAAATCTTAAGCCCAGAGGCTTAATTTAGTGGAGAGATATCAGGGTAGGAGCACTGGGTTCCCTTAGCTAGTTATATTATGAACAATGAGAATAATTAAGTGTACTTAGCAAGTAGGAGAAAATATTGGCCAAGTTTATTCATTCAATAAACACAGTGCACCAGCTCTATGCGGAGCTGTGTTCTAAGTGCTTGGATATAGTGAACACAACAGAGATCCCCACTCTTATGGACCTGATGTTTAGGAAGGAGGGGGACAAATGCAAATTAATCATTGATTAAATTATGTGATAAGTGGAAATGGAAGAGCAGAGGGGGATGAGGGAGTTGGAGGGGGAGGAGGAAATTGATCTGGATTTGGGAGGCTGCCCAACATGTTTCTGGGTCTGAATATTTTTTTGATCTATGACACAAATCATATGATTGATTGCTAACATCCACTGAGGCCACCTCTGTGCTGGGCACCATGCTGAGTGTTGACTTGGGTATCTCATTTAGCCTGCAAGGCTGCACCAGTTCTTCCTACCCCTAGGGCAGAATGCTAGACCTTAGTTCCTGGCCTTCTTCGTCTTCATGCTTTATCTTTGGGGCAGAAATTACTCTGGAAATGCTGGTTTTAACTTAAATCTTACATTGACCAGAATGTCCCCTTGAGCCACAGAGCCTATGGAGTGCTTTGTTAAACCCCGGAGCCAATGGGCTCAGGCTGTCCTTTAGCAGTGAGGTACCAGTGGGAGGATTTTCCATGCAAATGGTTGGGAATGAAAAAGAAATGAGAGGAAGGCCCATGATCTTTGCTACTCTGACTCCACAGGCTGCTAGGATGGACGTTGGCTGAAAGCACCAGCTTAAGGCATGGCCCATAATTAATGACTCTATTAACTTCACAGTGAGAGCACAGTTCAGACTGACTGCTGGGTGGCCTCTCTGTTTCTGTCACTTCTTTTTCATCTACGGAGGACTGTAGCACTGGTTGGAACTTTGAAAGTCCTGTTAGCCAGGCTTCTGCCATCAGATGGGCCTGTGGGCACATCGCCCCATAAAGCTCTGCCTCCTTCCTCAGGCCCTGGGGCATCACAGAAAGTTGGGGCTGCCAAGCCACTGCTCTGATAAGGCACACCTTCAACCAGGCTCCATCCCTCAGAGCTACAGGAAGATCCTGCGGCCACCCGCCCTCTGTGGTGACAGGGAATTCCTTCATGCATTTGGACTTTTGCATGCCTACCCTGTCCCTGGAACTAGAATAAAAGAATAGGAAGAAAAGCTGGTAAGAAGTCAATGATAACTATAGCCATGGCCATAATTTGGGCTCCAAAAGAAATAGTTCTGAGTGATTACAAGATAGCTTTTGGAGAGGGTCGAAGCCTTCTGCAGACTAATGATTGAGCAGAAAAACTGTTCAGAAAAACTTGAGAGATTTTATCAACACAGTAAGTCAGAAGTCAAGTCAGAAGTTCAGATGATGTTTTTTTTCTTTTTGTTTGAATGTGTCACTTCTCTTCGACTTTCCGTTCTGCTCCCACTAGAATGATTTCCTTCCCCGAGGCTCTCGGATCCACCCCACACACCATCACGAGCTCATTCTTCACCACACCCTGTTTTCCTAGCGTGGCCGCATGCGCAAATCCTCTCTTAGTTTCCACAGCCTGCAACACCAAGGTCACAGAGTTTGCTGAGCCACCATTAGCAAGACCTTGAACATGCTTCGGCCTCTCTCCTCTCCCTCCACATCACTCGACTTCCGTGGTACAGCTCCTCCCGTGGCTGTCTCTAGGCTTCACCGTGACATCTCACCACCCACCGCTGCCTTGTTCCTCCCTGATGCATTCTTCCCTCTCCAAAGCGGTCTCACTGAAGTCACCCAGTCCTAGTTCCACTCACCTCTCCTCAACCTCCAGGGGCCCTTTATGTTTCCTCTACACCCTGGGCACATGACCTGTGTTTCCTCACAATTGTAGTTACCTTCTCATACTCACAGGCGAGGATGAGGAACTGTTTCCTATCGCTTCACACCCACTCCCTGGCCATGCACTCAATACACTGCAGAAGCTGGTCCCAAATCTCTTACCGGAGGCCTAAGCAGCAGCTCTTCCTGCTCAAAGAAAAATATTCTGCCGCTGCCAACATTGCACTTCCTCTGCAGACCTCTGCAAGACATCTCAGAAAATGCCCATCAGAGCCTTCCACCTCATTCCAAGCTTGCGAGCAAGCTGGTTTTTCATTTGTCTTGTTTGTTTTTAAGCAAGAAGAAGAATCCCTTTAGAGGAGGAATTAGGAAAGGAAAAAAAGGCAAAGGAAAACAAAAGCAGAAGGAGTTGAGTTTTGTCTCTCTCTTTTGTCCCCTGCCTTGTCCTTCCTCCCTGTCCCATCCCCCTCACTTTCTGTGTTGCTTTTCATGCCAGTTGCTAAAGACTGTAATTTTAAAACTGAACTGGCTTTTCCAGAGCCTTGAGGAATGTGCATCTGCACGTGGATTTTTCCACACACACACACACACACACAAAAAAAATTGTCCCTGTCTTTTGGTTCTTCTTAGCCAGAAACAGTGAGGCCAGGCAATCCGAGTCCATCCGTCTTCCCAGCTCTTACTCCAGTTTGTTTGAGAGGCTTGCAAGGGGCTGAAGGGGATGGTTTGTGTTTTACCCGGTCAGACTGTTGTTTGATGAGGTTTGTGCTCCATTTGTTCAGATGGTTTTTATGGTTTCTTTGCTGTGCATGGAATGACTTTGAAAATCTTAATTCTGTATCGTCAAGCTCTTATGCTATTCCTGCCCAGTGTCTCAACGGGACTTACTCCACTAGAAAGGGAAGGAAGAAGTTTCCAGCTAGTTTGTTAAGCAATTTCTGAACACGTTTATGGAGTTATATGGAATCTTTCAAGGAGGTTACGATCACAAAGGTTCAGATTCGAGGAGTATTCTCCAAGACAGTAGAGACACAAGCCCTTCATCACATCCAGGTGGGGAGCAGGTCGCCATCCGTTCATTTCCTGATCCAGCCCCTTTCCCAGCCACATTTCTGGCCTATTCCCTTTCTCTGTGGTCATCAGCCGAGCCCTCTCCACCATCAATAGCAAAGCCCGAGAGCCCTCAGAGAGCCTGGAATGTGCTCACACCCCTGCAGTGTCATCCCACATCATCCATGTGCTGAAATAGGGGGCTGGAGTTGGCCCCCAGGAATGTCAGGGCCCTGGGCTTTGAGACGCTTCTCAATGGCCTTTCATCCAGACGTTGCCTGCTTTTCAGAGCTGCTTGAAGGATTTTGCTACAGAGCTATGGACATTTAAACATTTTCTAACCTTGTGTCACTTTATATTTGTACAAAGCTTTATAAGGTATTTTTCCATATGTTGTCTCATTTGATCATTTCCACAACCCTATAAGGTATATAAAACATAAATTTTTATTTTCATATTAAATAAAACCGAAGCCCAGAGGAGACTTTTGATTCATCCTAGGTTTCAAAACAAATAGCGTCAGGGAGAGAACTTGAACCAATCCTCTGACTTCACATTCACGATTCTTCCCATTACTTCAGCTCCCAGATAAGACTAAAATCTTCTCAAGGTCAAGTGTTAATGTTCCTTCCACTACCCCACCCCAACCCCAGGGGGTGAGTACGCTTCCAGAATTTAGTGATGCTTTAAAAGCCATTGCTGAATTGAATTTCATTTTTCCTGATCACTACAGATACTGCTCATGCAATCTTTCTGAGAAGCAGGTGATGCTAATGTACCCCTATTTGTTATTGTCCATTAGACCCTTCTTATGACTCAGTCAGAAGAGGAACATGGGGAAATAACATGAATTCTGGTCTCAACAAAAGTAAGTAAATGTCATATAATTCTTTGGAGGAAAACATTTTTCTGAGGATAGGGTGGGAGAACAGGGTCATGAGATACGGGAGAGCAGCAGGCATATGTTTTCCTGCTTTTTGAGTAACCAAAATTATTTGCCAATTTAGAGCCCGTCCATGATACCCAGTCCTCAAAAGATGATATGGGATTTTCATTTAGCTTTTTTGAATTTTGTTTTATTGCACTCAGTTTTAGAACATTGGAAGTTTGAAGGTTTTTCAAGACAAGGTTCTGTACCAATGAAAGGTCACTGGGTTTGGCTTCCGTTATTTAAATCAAGATAATGACCCTCTCTGATTTTCCCCAGCTAACTGGTAAGGCTAAGTCATACCAATTTCCCCATCCCCACTGATAGTGGTTAGACTTTGACATAGCATCATTTTGCCACTTGGTGAAGAAATTGATGTCTCAAACATAAGTTTCTCCACCAAGTGGTCATGTGATAATATGTTGAAGTCTACCCAGTATCTCCCATTAAGGGAATAAGGGGAGATACTGGGAATGATTCATGAACTCCTGTACCAGAAATCAATCTTGCCATGCCTAGGAAGCAAAATGTGAAGCCTATGAACAGGTAGCAAACGGAACTCTTTCAAGAAAGAGGCTAGGCTTACAAATTAACGCCCAAACAATAACCAGGACCCCTTCCAATTATGTGTATTAATTGTTTACTTGCTCTGCACATGGCATTCGGCAATCTAAGATTCACAAAGATGAATCAGACATGCACTGGTCCCATAGGCAGGAGACAGAAATCACGCACACACAGAACTCCATTCATCTGGCTGGTATCAAGGAAGGCTTTGTGGACCTGATAGCACTTGAGTTAGCTCTGAAAGGAGAGGCAGGATTCGGACCTGTGGTAATGGGGACTGGGAAGACATCAGCTTGGCAGATCTGACAGTCAGTAAGGACCTCAGGTTTCTGAGGTTTAGGATGAGTGATGCAGAAGTCTGCAAGGTAAAAAATAGAATTGTGAATGATGCAATGAAGATAGACCTTAGTTCTTTAGACAATGAGGAGTCACTAAGGTTTTGAACAGTGGCGTATATGGTGGGTTCTGGGGAGACAGAAGAGTAATGAGGCCACCAGTCAGACTAAGCCACAAACTATGCAAGAAGCAACACAGATCTGCAATGCAGAAGCGATCATGGGAATGGAAAGGGTGTGTGAAAGGTACAAGGAGGAAACTCACAAGACAGGGACACCAGGAAGCAGCGGATCTTTGCTCAGATGTCACTTTCTCAGTAAGGACTTCTCTAACTTTCTGATTTGAAAATGAAATCTACAGCCTCAGTACCATCAGTGATACTATACTGTTGGGTTACTTTTTAAAAATTGGAAAATGGAAAGGTGACATTTGAGCAGAGACAAAATTTTAAAAATTTAAAAATGTGTTTATTATTGTCTCCTCCGTTGGAATGCAATTTCCACCGGGAACTTCTTCTTCATTCCTGAATCTCCAGCATGGAGAACAGTGCCAGCACATAGTAGATCCTAGCTAAATATTTCTAAAATAAGATGAATAAATGAGTCAGTGGAGAGTGGGTGAAGGAATGAGTGGGAAAGCACATCTGTCAAGATGTCTCGCTCCCCTCGGGGAGCCAGGTCCTACTTACTGCATTGCTTTCCCTCTTGCCACAGGTCCTCCCCTTGGAGGGGCACAGACGATCAGTAAGAACACCGAGCAACGGCCCCAGCCAGGTACCTGCCCAGGAAAACTAATCTCTCCTTTGCTTCCTGCACAGCTGTTGATTCCACAGAGTCAACGGATGGAGGGTTTAAACAATATACCACATATGTTGTCTCTTATTTCACTCAAAGAGGGTCTCTATTTGACCCTATTAGGCCTGTGAATGAAGTAACAGGTCCTAAAATCAAGTGGAGACTTGTTAAATATCAAAGGTGAAAGGAACTTAAAGATTAACTGTTCCAAAGCTTTATTTTGTTAAATAAAGAAACTGAGGCCCAGGGAGGTAAAGTGACTTGCTAAAAACCATGCAACTAGTTAATGAGAGAGTTAATTATAGACCTAATTATAGACCTTGGTCTATAATTCCAGACCCCCAAATTCCTGCCCAATCCATTTATGCTTCACCAAACCTTACTTTCAGCAATATCCCCATCCTGCGATGGCAAGGCTTAACAGTTAGGCAGAGGAACTTTTAAAGCCATGGACTTGGAGACTCTGTATTGGAGAGGAACTTAGAGATTGCCAGGTCTATAACACCCTCACCTCTACCTTACCTGTGCTTATAGTAAAACAGGGCATTGACTATCTAGTTGGTCTCAATTCTACTATCTGAGCCAAAGTCCCCTTCCTGGAATTTCCACTCAAGCTTTGCCTTCTGGAGAAGTCTTCCTTCTGCTTTCTCCAAGATTCTTTGTATATCTGAACACAGCTACTCTGCCCAAGCCCTAGTATCTTCTTATGTGATGCAGCTGAGATGAAGTTCTGAACAAGTCATTTGCTTTGGGGTGGGCAAGCATTGTTCTCCGTCTCCGCAGACGGCAGAGCAAGAGAAAATCAACTGAAATTTCACCAGGCAGGTTAAGAAAACATTTGCTGACTGTGGATCATAAGTCAGATGTAGAGGGTTTTAAAGACTCTCCAATAACAACAAAGTTAGACATCACCAGCCAAAAATACTTTAGTCATCATACTCATGGTGTGGATGAGAAAGGATGGTCTCAGTGGGCTTAAGGACTCTTAGAAATTAATTTATGGTTCTAAGTAGAAACCCAAAAATCATGTTGATATTTTTAAAATGATAATTATAGTTGAAAACATAGTAAAATTGTACAAAATGTATGACAACTTTGCCAAGTCGAGACCCAGCTCTCTACCCTGATTTCCTCAACTAACAAAAAAGAAGATAAACCTCTCACCTAAGCCAATATTGCAAAGACTCTTCTATGGCTAAATAATCACATAAGCTTTGAGTAAACTGAGATTTTAATAGTCAGCCTATAGCTAAAACACAAACTCTGGTTTGTGCTCAAAGTCTAAGCTTCAAATCACAGAGTGTTATACTAGAAGAGAACTGAGGAATCCAGTAGCCCAACCCACTCATTTGGCAGATGAGAAATTCCCAGAAATTGTCCCACAAGTTATTTGTTTATCACATAGCTACTGCTAAAACCCAGGCTGCTTGATTTCCAGGCACGTGTTTTCATGATACATTTTTAAAAACAGATTAATGATGTTGTTAGTATTAAGGAGAGCTATTAAAGACCAGTAACCATGAGCCCGTCTTTAAGCCCATTGAGTCAGCCGTCCCTTGTATCACTGAATCTTAGCCAGATCCTTTCCAAATGTCTTCATTGTTTTGCTTTTGGTAATGACAGCATAATCTGCACATTTTAGATGCCAAATATGAAAAAGTAATCCTGTTCCTATTCTTTGTTGTTTCTGTAATGATTGAGATGAAGACCACAAATGTCATCAAGGTTTTTGAGATCTGCAAATAAAAGCAGTAAAGTGTTCCAAAATCAGTCTTCGCTGTGATCTTGAAAGAAAAATATAAACCCTTGTGGTTTCCTTATGGCTGATACTGTTGTCATATTTTTAATAATACTGAAGCAAATTTCCTTTTTTATTTCCTTAGATCCATATCAGATCCTGGGCCCGACTAGCAGTCGCCTAGCCAACCCTGGTGAGTTTACCTTGGCCTGCAAGCCTTTTTCACCAGAATGTTTTGTAGCTTTGTGAAGTCACAGAGACTTCTGTCCTAAGTCCAGACACCTGACTGGGGAATAACATGTGCCTCTTTCCTTGAAATGTTCAATGTCTGTTTCTGGAGCATGAGAACAAGAGGTCAGGGCTTGTTACGAGGTGCCAAGCTTCGTTAGCTGAGGATGCTTCTGGGAATAAACACATTAGCACTAAACATGTGCACTTAGGTCTCGATAACTAATAAATGGAACAGGTAGGCATTTCAGTTGGAGAAAATGGGGAAGAAAGAAAAGAAGACAACTTCACTGAGCTCTCAGTTGTCTGCCCCATGCAAGGCACATGTTAATAGATAATCTAAAGTAGTTTATTTGTGATCTTAGAAAATGTTGCCAAGTTACCTGGCCTTATAAAAGAGATGTGTCCCTGAAAAGTTGTAGATATAGTAAATTTGACCTTGGATTTTAAAGATTTAGTATCTAAAATAATGCTCAAGAGGATCCTTCTAAACCAAGACCATCGAGATTGGGAGCTAGCAGGCTCTTACAGTAGTGTGGCCACTCACCTTCCCATCCCAGGGAGTCTCCTTACCCACCTCTTAGTGCCTGGATGTTTCCACCAGAGGAGAAAGAAGCCAGCCCGCATATTCTGGGTTTTTTCTCTCTGCACAAGTTCTCTGTAGAATTTAGAGCTGCAAGCCAAGCTCTAGGGCCTGCCAAGGGCCAATCCAGGCCCTTTCATCCAAAAGCTGAAGTTCATCACGCAGCTTCTCCCAATGACTCCTACAGTCATGCCTTGCCCCTGACTCTCTTTATTGCTGACAGGGAATTACCCGGGAGACCTGACCACTAAGTAAAGATCCGACAGTGATTCCGGCCTTCCTAGATGAAGAGATTTAAAGCCCTTGCCAAAGGGGTTGAGGGGAATGTGGCTTGCCCAAGATCATACAGCTAGTTCTGGGCAGAGCCCCACACCTCACTTCCCATATTCCATTTACCAGGCCTTGGGCAAAGCATCTTAGGGTATAACCTCGCTTATCATACCCATCTCCAAGGCAAGCAGAAAGGCAAATCAGCAATGATGAGAAGGGCTGGTCAAGTCCATCCCAAAGTCAAAGGAAACAAAGAGTTCTTTAAAAGGATGAGAAGCTCTCTGCATTTAGGGAACTGGTTCTTCCTTCTGGGGGCTGAGATATTCTGTTCTTTCCCATGCATTTGACGGCTTACAGGAAGCGGGCAGATCCAGCTGTGGCAATTCCTCCTGGAGCTGCTCTCCGACAGTGCCAATGCCAGCTGTATCACCTGGGAGGGGACCAACGGCGAATTCAAAATGACGGACCCCGATGAGGTGGCCAGGCGCTGGGGCGAGCGGAAAAGCAAGCCCAACATGAATTACGACAAGCTGAGCCGGGCCCTTCGATATTACTATGATAAAAACATTATGACCAAAGTGCATGGCAAAAGATATGCCTACAAATTTGACTTCCACGGCATTGCCCAGGCTCTGCAGCCACATCCGACTGAGTCGTCCATGTACAAGTACCCTTCTGACATCTCCTACATGCCTTCCTACCATGCCCACCAGCAGAAGGTGAACTTTGTCCCTCCCCATCCATCCTCCATGCCTGTCACTTCCTCCAGCTTCTTTGGAGCTGCATCACAATACTGGACCTCCCCCACAGGGGGAATCTACCCCAACCCCAATGTCCCCCGCCATCCTAACACCCACGTGCCTTCACACTTAGGCAGCTACTACTAGAAGCTTACTCATTGGCGGCCTCCTAGCTGAAGCCCCATCCCTCACTCTTCCTGGATGCTTGGACTCTGCAGGACGGACATATGTGGCCTTGAAGAGAAGACAAAACTGGATATTCTTTCTTGTTGGATAGAACCTTTGTATTTGTTCTTTGAAAACAAGTTTTTTTTTAATGTTGGTAACTTTTGCTTCCTTTACCTGAACAAAGAGATGGATAATTCCATGGGCCAGTGTGCCAGTTTGAATTCTCAGTCTCCTAGCATCTTGTGAGCTGAATATTAAGATTACTGGAATGGTTATGTCATGGTTCTGGAGAAAGAAGCTGTATGTTTTCTTTATGTTTTTATGACCAAAGCAGTTTCTTATCAACACACGGGTCTCATTATGGGGTTCAGTATGATACAGAATCATGGACTTAACCAGTCATGTTCTGGTTTGAGCCTTAGTGGAAATAGAGGTGGGAAGCTTGTCATCTAATTTTAGGAGGACCCAATTCAGTGGATGGCAACTGGAACATTGATTGTAAGGCCAGTGAAGTTCTCACCCAACTGGAATTTGATGGAAAGAAGGTGTGTGTGTTTAAGAAGCCAAGGGCATTTCAGAATCCCCCGCAGTGGACAGTATGCACTCAGCTGACCACTCTCTCTAGAAATAGTCAGGATATCAACTAAGAAATTTTAATGCAAATACATACATTCCTGAAAGATGGGGAATTAAATAACTAATTTTTTTTTAATGATGACAGTGGGTCCCAGAACTTGGAAAAGTCGTAGGGATTTCTAAACTCAAACAGATTCGCAAGCGCTGTGCGCTTGTCAGACCATCAGACCAGGGTCAACCAATCAGAAGGCAACTTACTGTATAAATTATGCAGAGTTATTTTCCTATATCTCACAGTATTAAAAATAAATAATTAAAAATTAAGAAGAATAAATAAACGAGTTGACCTCGGTCACAAAAGCAGTTTTACTATCGAATCAGTCGCTGTTATTTTTTTTAATGTAATTTGTACATCTTTTGTCAATCTGTACATTTGGGCTGTGTTTGTACGTTTTTATAGCTGGTTTTTAAAAAACATAATATGACTATTGCTGAAAAGGAAACAGGGCTGTTTAAGTCACTGACTTACAAGAAAGAAAAGCACTGGTGCAGTTATTTAACAGACATACACAAGGAAAGATAATCCATTTAGATCTTTAATGCTTTGGAAATGTGTGTAACAGCACTGCAATAATCACAGCTCTGGGAAAAACAACAAAACTATCCCTTGTGGAGATGAGGGATTTTCCTGCTCTATATATGCAACATATTTTTAGACATTAAAATATATATAATTTTGCAGGTAATTGTTGACTTTTTTAACTATATTAAGTGTTTGCTGACAGCTGTCAATGAAGTCCCTGTTGTAAAATAATTTGACTAAATAAATGGTTCCCTCTTCTCTCAGCGCTGAGGACACTGTTTTCTTATTTACCACCCCTGTTATGTCAAAGGGTTTTTTCCCTGGGGAACTTTCCAATTTACTTCTTACACTATCAAGAATTTTTCAGATGTACATAATCAGCGTGGTTTTCCGTTGTTGGTGGTGATGTTTGTAGCATTTGTGTGCGTGCGTGTGTGTGTGTGTGTGTGTGTGTGTGCGTGTGTGTGTGTGTGTGTGTTATAAAAAGCATTTTATAAAATGGCAATGAAGGCTGTGGATAACCTGTGTCTAAGGACTGGAGCAAAGCAAACTGGTCTATCCAGACTTGTCTGTGAGACTTCACTCTGTTGCCTCCTGTGGGCACTTCAGACCCAGGGGCCACCTTCTGCTACTCCAGCAGAGAATAAGGCCCTGCTTCCTTCAGGTCTCAGACCAGGATTTTATGGCTCATGTGGATTTTTAAGGTCATTTTTCTTCCCAAGGAAGGAACTTGCCTCCAATTGCTTCACTGTTAGGTAACTTGTTTTCATTTTCTCTATTTTACAATGAAAAAGAGTGAGACCTGGGAAATCCTTGATGTTGCAAGGAATTTGACTCACAGCATTGGTAATCCTAGAAACCTTCCCTGGGTGACACTGAGTATTTCTAGACAACATGTCTACCTAAATGAAGTGGGATGTGCTTCAGAACATTGGTCTCTTTTTTTTTTTTTTCCAATCATGCACACTGCCATTTAAAAAGATGTGTAAGGCACATATTCTCAACATATGCAGATTGTTTAAAAATCATATATATATGTCAAATAAGGGGATTACAGACACAAAGCGGGATACAACATCCAGTGTTGGATTAGAAATGAATGCTTCTGAGTGAACTCAGGGTTTCAATATAGATAGAGAGTAGAAATAAACACAGATATAAATGTATATGCATAGTCATACAGATAGCAGAAATAAATATAGATATAAACGTATAAGCATATACAGTCATGCACTGCATAATGATGTTTATGTCCACGAAAGACTCCACATACAATGGTGGTGCCACGAGACTCTAATAGAGCTGAAAAATCCCTGTCACCCAGTGATGCTGGGGCCCAGGCACTGTGGAAGTGCAATGCCATACTCATGTCTGTGGTGATGCTGGTGTGAACAAACCTATTTCACTGCTGGTCTATGAAAGTCTAGCAGATGTAGAGTACATAATTCTTGATAATTATAGTAAACAACTACGTTACTGTTTATGTATTTACTATACTTCTTATGATTTTAGAATGATAGATTTTAGACATAAGTAGATGACTTCTACTTATATGCTTAAAAAGTTAATTTCAAAACAGCCTCAGGCAGGTTTTAGGCTAAATATGAGTTTGTGTCTTCGTTTCTTACAAAAATTTCAAGGAGTAAAAAGAAATCATTTTTTTAAATGAAAAGAATGTATAGAATAGTAAGAAAAAATATTTTTATACTGTACATTGTGTTTGTGTTTTAAGTTAAATATTATTCCAAAAAAAGTAAAAGAGGTAAAAAGTTTAGAACTTTATAAAGTAAAGAATTATGGTAAGCTAAGTTTAATTTATTATTGAAGAAAGAAAAGTTTTGTAGATTTAGTGTGGCCTAAGTGTACAATGTTTATAGAGTCTACAGTGGTGTATAGTTATGTCCTCGGTCCCTCCCCACTCACCCACCGACTCACCCAGAACAACTTCCAGTCCTGCAAGCTCCATTCATGGTAAGTGCCCTATACAGACGTATCATTTTGTGTCTTTTATCCCCCTATTTTTACTGTACCTTTTCCATGTTTAGATACACAAATAATTCCCATTGTGTTACAACTGCCTATAGTATTTAGTAGAGTAACATGCTATGTGGGTTTGTAGCCTCGGAGTAATAGGCTACACCATGTACCCTAGGTGTGTAAAAGGCTGTGCCATCTAGGGGTGTGAAGTACGCTCTGTGATATTCAACACCACGAAATCACCTAAGGACACATTTCTCAGAATATATCTCCGTTATTAAGCAAGGCATGACTGTATATGTATGTATATATGTGTGTATATAGACACATACTTACATATATGATGTATATGTATGTATATATCTACATCTATTGCCTAGCTCTGTCCACTGAGTGGCCCTGGAAGCAGGGACACCCCATTAGCAGTTGGCACACCTATCCCTCAGGTATTGGCTTCTAAATAGTATTTTCCACTAAAAAGAATGAGGAATCCATGAGGAGATGACTAATTCCAGGGCTAGGGCACAAACTCCAAAATAAGTTGTGGGAGAAAGTAAGGAAGTGCTTAAAGACTGATGGGAACACGTCAAAGGAGACAGAAGCCAGCGTGAATGTCCTTCCATTGGGACAATGTAATCATTAAATTAAAGAATAAGAGCAGATCATATCCACTCAATAAAATAACCATGAGTCTTAGAGATATAAATGAATGAATACATTGAAGTTTGATGATGAATGAGATATTTACATAATTTCAAAGTAAACCTCTGCAAAATACTTACTAATTACAAAGGCTAAAGGCATAACTTTTCAAAGCAGAAGCCTGGGAGACACTGCCTTAAACAGATCATCAAAGTGAACTTCATCAACAATGAGATACACTGAAATTATGTACCATCCAATGGAATGCCAGAAGAAGGCAGCATGACTTCTGCAATTGATTACACTGTAATCATTAAATATATGCGTGTGCTCCTGTCACTGAGGCAAATAGGTCAGACAATTCCTTTTCTCATGAAGCTTACAAGTGGCTTTGGTTCTGCAAAAAGGCTGAATCCAGGCTTACCGGGCATAAAATTCCAGCTCCCAACCTCTATTTCTTAGCTGATTGAAAAGTCCCATCCAACATTTCTGTCAAAGCACATTTTTAGCATTCCTTTATAACAATCTCATTTTATTTGCAACATCCTGCAGCTTGGCCACGCACTCCCCTGGCTTTAGGTGCACCATAGCGCCAAGGAAGGCCAAAAGCACAAGTGGGGCACTGGGGGCCTGTGATGTGGAAAATGCAAAGGCTCTCTGGAAAACCCAACTTATTTCTACTTTGCACCCATTTGGAAAATCTTTCTGGCCACAAAACAAAAATGACACTGTACTGAACTCCCCAAACAGAGTGCCCACCAGTTACCAAGAACTTAATAAAAGTTCTTGAAAAAAACTAGCCAATACTAGCAGATAACGATGATGATCTATAAACCTCCTGTGCAGCAGTCTACAATGGGTTTTCCACATTGTTGTCCAATGCCTCACAGAAACTCATGCAGGAGATATAACTCAGGTCCTAGTTAATCGGTGAAGACAAGTTGCCCAGTAGGCGAGAGGGCCAGCATTTGAACCCAGGGTCGCTGGCATTATATTCATTTTTATTTGTCTACGCAAATTGCCTCTTTCCTACCACTAAGAAAACACATGAGTTGACTCAGTTAAAATCCAGAAGGTTAATCTAGCAGTTGTAGGTGAGTAGTGGTCTCACTGGAAATTTTTCCTGTCTCCCGCTGGAACTTTTAAGCTGAGTGTAAATCGACTATGTGCTTAGGGATTTACCAGCTCCGACAGACTGAAACAATTAGACAGGAGGCCACATCAGACTGAGAGAGAGAGACAGATCCCAGGCTTGCGGGCCCACATTCCTTTCAAAAGTTCCCTCCCTATCCTTTCTCAAATGGCTGAAACCCTAGAGGTTTGACTGGCTAACCCACTTCCTCTCACAAGTGTCCATCCCCCGAGGGAGCCTGGGATTTGTAGTCTTGGAATCAGCTGGCCTTTCATAATCCTTTACTGGGACTCCCTGGCTGAAGGCATGTAGTGTCAGTTTCAGTAGCTTTCTACGTGATGAAATGCCCGATGTGCTTTCTGCAAAACCTATATTTTTTCCTGGATAAGAGCAAAGCTGCTGTACGCTAACCAGAACCTAGTCAGTGCCCTGGCCCCCATCCCGGTTCTCATTACCTCTCCCACCCCCGCCCCCATTGATACAAAGCATCCTCTTACCTCGACCTCCTGAAGGCCTTCTGGACACAAGCCCAGCGGTGCTGTTGATGGTGAAGGAACTTCTGAATGAGGTATGGAAACGGGGCTGGGCAGCAGGGAGCCATGCTTAAGGGTTGCTTCCCCCAAGCACACTCCCACAAAGGACACCTTTTCAAAAGTTTTTAAGGCAACATGTTCACAGGATGCTTGTTAATGAACAGCTATTAGAGGAAATACGGTAAGAAACCAAGTCCACACACCTCTCACAGAAATTTTGTTCTGTTTTTTATTTCCCCACTAAGCATTGCCTTGACTTGGCAGTGCCTTGGCTTGGGGTGGACAGATGCTCCTGTCCTCCCTTGTGGAGGAGATCAGAACCCCCTGATCTCATTTGGTCTATACTAGCAAACCGTATCTGAGGACCCTCTTAATCCATTTCCCATTGTGTATGTTCATCACTCACTTGCATGCAGATATAACTGGTTAAGTAAAATAATAATCTTTTAAAGTGTCATTACATTTCTAGTGGCTGTTGACTATGAAAAATGTTTCAAAATAACAGGTATTGAAAATAGGCTGGGTGCAGTGGCTCACGCTAGTAATCCCAGCACTTTGGAAGGTGGAGGTGGAAGGGTTGCTTGAAGTCAGGAGCTTGAGACCTACCTGGGCAACATAGAGAGACCCTATCTCCACAAAAAAGAAAGAAATCAAAATTAAAAATAAGAAAAAATGAAATAGAACTTCCTTTGTGTGGGACTCAACAATATTTTTTTACACTAAAAAAAAATGGCCTCTGCTCTAGACTTCTCCCAAATTCATATGCTGAAACCTAATCCCCAGTGTGAAGGTATGTGGAGGTGGTTAGGGCATGAGGGTGGAGCCCGCAAGAGTGGGATTAATTCCCTTATGAAAGAGACCCCAGAGAACTCCCTTGCCCTTTCTACCATGTCAGCACACAGTGAGAAGGCTTCCTCTATAAACCAAGGCAAGGGCTGTCACCAGACACTGCTGGCACCTTGATCTTGGACTTCCCAGC